GGTAAGGATAGACCACCCAGTTCGCACCGTATCTATACACTTTCCCAGAGCAGGGACTCAAATTTGTGGTTTTAGGGAAGAACTCTGTGCGAAAGAACTGGGAACACGCAGGGGTGGGATGAGGGATAGCAATGGGAGAAAAAGAGAGTCGAAGGTATGGGACACAGAGGATCTGGATCCAGCCTGGTGGGGACAGAAACTAACCTCCTCCCCCCGCTCCCCTCCCCACACCCCCGCCGCACACACACTGGTCTTATGTTGAATAGCCAGCTCACTTTGTCCTGCCCAGCTCTGAGAAGGGGACAGGAAGGATAAAGGCCTTTCCTCTACTCTCTCCATTCAGAATGTGATATGAGCAGACTGAGGAAGGACTGACAGGCCACTGTACGTCTCTCTACTCTGGCCTTATGATTTCCCTGGGCTGTTGGCCCAACTGGGAATATGATGCCCCGTAACACCCATGAGCCAGGAACTGGTATGATACCCATTTGACAGATGAGAGGATCAAGGCACAGAAGAGTTAGTATTTGTCCAAGGCATGACAGCTACTACGTGACGGGACCAAAATTCAAATTTTGCATAGCCTACTCTTATATTGTCCCCAATAAATGTGTTGCAAAAAGGATTGAGAGTGGCCAGGCTTCAGGAGTCGTAGTTCTGGGCTCCTTCCCAGATGGGGTCTGATAGTGGAAACTAAGGCAGGGCTTCTCTCCTCCCTGGGCTGCCTGCCCTTTCTAACCTAGACAAAAGCCTTGCTTCAAAGGCTTCTAGGAAATGAGATTCCATGCCTGACCCTTCAGACTTCCAATCTAATTCATGATTATCAGGAAGTTCTTCCTATGGTCTAACCTCCACGCCTCCTCCTGCAGGTCAAGCCCATTTATAAGGTCTGTTAAACAAAAAAATGTGACTTCCATGGCTGAACGTCTTTTTAAAAGAAGGGGTTTATTAGGCCATTGCCAGGGAAAAAAGAAAGAAAGAAAGAAAGAGAGAAGCCAGCTCCGTCTTGGTGCCTGGAGTCTGAACCACAGCAGCACGGCTGGGTAGGAAAGACATGTCCATTGTCACAGAGTTTCACAAGTGATTTCATACATCAATGGGGGAGGAGGAAGAAAGATGTAAGATTTACGTTAGCGACAGGCTAAGGGGACTGGAGAAGCTGAACTGGGCAGTTTTGAGGAGGCTCAGAGTCCGAGGAAGAGGTGTTTGTGTCCTCGGATAGGTTGTGGGCAAGTCCGGAAAGCTCACGTGTGAATCAGAAGCAGAGGCTCCTAGAGCTCCAGGGTGCCCGGCTATTCTCTTTTTAGAATAACCGTGGAAATGGCCACCAGGGCATTAGTTTGAAGTTCCAGCGTGCTCTCAGGAGTGCAAGCGGTCTTTTGTCAGAGCTGGCTCAAGGCTAGTAACGGGCTAACTGTTCTGTCTCTCTCACTCTCTGGCTGCTGTAATTTTAATTTAGAACATCTCAGAATTTTTTTTCTTGTCAGTCCCGGATAGAAGAGAAAGAGGATGTGGAGCAGCCTTCTGTTTCAGAAAGGGGTATTCTTGGTCTCTAAAATCAGGGTTTAATTCTCTAACCATGGCAGTCATGGCTGGCCAATCACAGGCCTTAATGGGAAAGCTTAAATTATAGAGGACCAAGTTAAAGGAAAGAAAAAAAAGGGCGACAAAACCCACCCAACTCTGAGCCACTGCTGCTGCAGCTGATAGGTAATTATCTGCTGTTTGTGTGCACTGTTAGGGGCTCCCAACTCTGCCTGGGGAGAAGGCCGATGAGTTGGTGTCAGGTCAAGACAATTGCGTGGGGCCTGTCCAGACCCTTCTCGACTTCTTCCCCCCCATGCTACCCCTCCACTCCCCTCCAATCAGGGAAGGAGCTGCCCTCTCTGGCCCACCGCCCCTCCCCAACACTCAGGAGGAGAGAGGAGTGATTAGCATGGGGCATTGTCCCGGGATAATGGGCCCCAGCTGCTGCATGAAAGAAGAGACAAAGCGCCTGGCCGCTGCACACGCATTATCCCCTCGTTAAATCTCTGTTATTAGATTAGATTCAAAATGTATTGATTCAGAGGCTGGGGGAAATGGGGGAGGGAGGAGAATCTGGCTGGGAAATGCTGAACCACACCTCTTCTCATGCTCTCCCTCCCCTTCCTTCACCCCACCGGGCAACTTGTCCTCCCTCTTATCCTTTCAGGGAAATCTCCCCAAGCCCACCTCCTGACTGGGCTCAGCTACTCTCCCTGGACCATCCGGAAAGCCACAGAATGTCCACTCCTGCAGTGGGCCCTGAGGTCGCTGAGCATGAGTTGCCACTGTCCAGTAGAAAGGCCGTCTCTTGCGATGCCAGCAGCAGGCTCCACAGCTTGGAGCACTTTTGAGACCTTTATGGGATCTGCTGAGTGGAAGTGACAGGTTTTGGAAAGCAGGGTGGATGGCAAAAGGAGGTGAGAAGTGGGAGTATTCGTAGGTAATAGAGAGGAAAAGAGATGAGAAAGAGAACGGGCAAGCTTCTGAGAACCGCTGAGAAAAACATGGTTGGTTTCTGATTTCCTCTCTCTGTTTAGGAAAGAAGGAGAGGAAATGAGCTAAAGTGGCAGGAGGAGGAAAGGAAGCAGATTCGGGGAAATGTAACAGACAGGAGGGAGGTTCTGGGTCTTCTCATATCCCAGGCAGGGTAAAGGTCTCCTTCATAGATGACCAAGGTCAATACTGACGACAGGAGTTACTACACTGGGGATTCTCTGGCCCTGGCCTCAGTTTCCCATCCCTGGGCAGCACGGCCTAGACGGGGATCGATGAACTGATTGGGCATGGCTAGTGGAGCAGAAGATGTTACACGTGGCGGCTCGTTCTCGAGGTGGTTAATTGGCAGCCTCAGTGCTGGGCTCTGTTGCCCCATTGATTGTGGGGAAAGGGTGGGGAGAGGGAGATGAGGAATCAATAGGTTGATTAGTGTCTTACTAGCTCTCTGGTTGGACACTTTGTCAATAGCCACCCACTTAACTGACCAGTAGTGCATCAACAGTGCCAGACTGTCCAACTTCCTCTTTCTCTGGTCTGAGACATGAGAATCACTGAGTAGCACAACTGGCCCAGCAAGGTCAAGTGGAGTGGGACAGCTTTGGATGCCAGGACCAGATTCCAAAGTGTGAGCTGCAGGGCCCATCCTAAGAGTGTCAGATTGAACAATCTCTACTCAGTAGGAAGCAACAATTGCAAATGGGGGCCACTCCGCAACCCCACGATCTCCTGCATTTTGCTGGGAGACCCTGATACCTACCCACCAACAAAACAAAGATAAATATAAAATCCTGAACTAATATCAAAAGTACATATGTCTGGGATAGAAGTAGCAGATGAAACCTCATCAGTTTACCTTAGGAACCAGCAGCTGGTTAGACAATGTTTAATGAGTTCTTCTTGCATGCTGGAGAACCTGGGGTGAGAAGAAGCTGAGAGAAGCTAAACCAGAGAAGTCCCTTCCTCGGTCTCTAGGGTCCTTCAGACATGGAGCTCCCAAGGGCCCAAGGTTCTGCCCTCTATCCTTCAAGACTGTCTACGAACTAGAATGCAGAGTTTGGGGACAAGGGAAGGTATTACTTTAGATATTCCACACCGAATCCCCTATAACTGGCCAGCCTGGAACAAATCATTCCAGACATTTCTTTTAGGTCCTTTCCCTTCAGCCTGGCAGTGTCCAGTCTCTGTCCACGTGCCTTCCTCCGAGCGAGAGGCAGCCCAAGACAGGGAGAGGGATAAGGCTAGAATGAGAAAGAGAGAACCAGAGAAAGCTTCAGGCCAACATAGAGGACACTAATACCATTACTTTTGGTGGGTTCTGCATTCTTTTCCTCTGGATGCTTGTGAGGTGGATGGAGTAATAGAGCTGGGGTGCTCCTCAACATATCTTAAACCCTGATGTCTGGGAGAGGAGGCCAGGATACGAGAGGTAAGATCGAAGACCACGTCCCCGACTCTGCCTCCCTCATGGTCCTGCTTGCTGTGGCTGTACCAAGGGCCAGTGCTGAGAGTTCCCAAAGGAGATTAAAAACTCGAGCCTTAGCATTCTCTTTCAAACCCCACACCAGCTGGTGCTGGCCGTGGTGCTGATGCTCTTGTCTCCATTCCAGGCTCCTTTTGCAGGGAGAGAGCTTGCTCCCAGCTTCACCTAGAGACCTTGAGCCGAAGATGATAACAGGACTGTGTGGATCCTTCTGTCATCTTTCTAGAGGTCACAGAACTGAGCAACCCACTCCCCACTTCTCCATTGCTAAGTGTTCATGGTCCTGACCCTCCCACCTTAAATCCCACCTCCTCGTGTTTCTTTATAACAGCCACCATTTGGTCACTGCCCAATTCCTTGTGGGCAGGAAGCACCAAACAACAAACCACAGATACTTCCCCCAAATTTAAACTTCTTCCACCCGCCCAGCTGCTGACAAATGGTCAAGAAGAGAGTTTAGGGCTTCATCGCATTTTATTACCCTTCCCACCCCACCATCTGATGAATCATTCAGGGAAGTTCAGGGAAGTGGTCATAGGTGAGGCGAAGACGGATAGTGTTGGATAAACCTAATGCAGAGTTATCAGGCCCGTGCAGCAGAGAGCTGATTTGTCTTCAATCTAAAAGCAAGGCTGAAGGAGGTGAGCAGAATTCCAAAGTGCCTTATTCAGGGAGGCGCCCCTGGGGAAACAGAGGCTTGATGCATAGATATAGAGAGTAAAATTAGGGGATGCATGGGCTTCTCTTGCTCTAACACAACGTGTTTTAAAGCCATAGTGGGCAGGTGGGGTGGGGGGAGGATGTAAGTGTCTTGAACACCAAGTTTTGGGCGGAAGGGTGAAGGCTCTGCTTTGGTACTGCAGAGATGAATTGGCATTCAAAACAGGGATGGATGGAACTGTATATGTGTCTTGAGAATGTCCCTGTCATGCCCTGGACCCTGAAATTCCCCTATCCCCATCCTACCCAGCGCCCGCCCCCTGCTGGGCTGTGCCCCTTAGGAATACTGCCAGATGGACCAGAGCGTGACCAGGGTGACTCCGTAGGCCAGCACCGCCAGCAGGTAGATGCGAAACAGCAGCCCGTCCAGCATGGTGCCCACACGCAGCCAGTCCCGGGCCACCTCTCTGCTCTCCTCCTGTTTCTCCAGGAAGTGCCTCATGGAGGCCAGCTCCTGCAGCAGCCCGTGCACTGCCAGGGACGCCTCCCGAGGTGGTGGGGGTGGGCCGCTTCTACCCTTTGGGGTCTTGTCCAAGTCCCCGCGTGCTCCCAGATGGCTGCAGTGGTTTTCCATGTCTGCAAGAAGGGCAGAGCATTGGCAAGGGAGGGAGCCCCAGCCAAAGGGCCTGAACACTGCCCCTTATGTTTCTTTGGCCTGCAGAAATTTTCGTTATAACGATTTCAGACATAAAGAGTATCCGGAATAACTTACATATTTGCAAACCTACCCTCCGACTTAAGCAAATAAGGAAAGCCAACATAATTAAAGATTCCCGTATACCCCTTCTTAGTCACATCCGTGGTCCCCTCCCCAGGTCACCAAGATCACGAATTTGGTGTTTGTCCCTCCCATGAACTTTTTAAAAAAATTCATGGCTTTCCCTAGCAATTCGATGTCCATTATTTCACTTGAGCCTCACAACAGCCTTAGGAAAGAGCAGGGTAGGGGTGATTATTGTCCACACTTTTTACATGAAGGTGCTAAAACTCAGAGGTTTAATGACTAGCCCGTGGTCATACTGCTGGTGCGTCATTTAACAGTGAGGCCACCAAGGCCCAGGTACGTGGACTTTAAATCCACTGCTCTCTCCACTATGTCATATTGCCTCACTGCCCTCCTCTCTGTGACTCCGAGTCTTCCTGCACCAGAAAACACACCTTCAGATATGGCTTTCTTCCCCAGGCGAGCAGTGAAATTAGCCATAGGCTGGTGCCCTAGCTCATTAGCTCATGATCATATGGTCTTAGGTTAACTAAACATCTTCTGTAAAAGGCCTGATCCTAGACAAAAGGGAGGACAAAAAGGAGTGGAGTGGGGTGGAGTGGTTTAAAACACCAGCTCGGAGTCAAATGGGCCTGGAGTGAAATCACAATTTCACCAGTGCCTGGCTCTGTGATTTTGGGCAAGCTATTTGGCCTCCGTACCTTTTTTTTTTTTCAATGAGAATGAGAATCCTTTGGGTTGTCATGAGGATTACCTGTGACAATGCACAGGAAAAGCTCTGCACATGCCTGGCCCAAAGTGCTCAGCAAATAAACCAACAAACCAACCACCACGCCCACCACCAAATCGTGGCTGTAACAACTCCTCAGGAGGCGTGAGCTCCACAGTTAGTGTCCCTCTGCCCCCTGTCTCTCTTCTCTGCTCATAGGTATTTAAAATTCTAAGGGACCTGGTCTTTGAGCTGATTAGAATTAGAGAGTTTTAGGAATCCTGGCTGCAGTACTAACTTCGGCAAGGAGTCAGATGACTAACTGCCTTAGGGGCATCCATTTGACCCAGTTTTAGTTCCATCTTTAAGAGAGGCCACTCTCAGCCCAGAGGTCTCAGTTCCTGACACGCTCCCCCTGTGGGACTCCTACCCCCTCTCTGTCCACACCTGAGCTGATGAGAGCATGTGGAAGATTGACACTTTGGGCTGAAGTCTGCTCCCTCCCAGTGGGGCCAGGCATGGGGTGCCACGTGCAGGATAGCACCCAAGGCTCTCTGGCATGGCACACCCCCCAGAGACTCCCCACCATGCCCCTGCGTCAAGATGCAGGGACCCTCTGCCTCTTACCTGAGCAGTCATCGGTCTTGGTGGATTGGGAGGTGGCTGGGCACCTGTGGGAGGTTGACTGCTCCCCTAGGCAAAGCAGCAGGGCGACTCTCTCGAGAATGAGGCGCCGCAGCCAGGCAGGCACGGGCTGTTGCAGGTCTTGCTTGTGTACCAGTCGCACGATGAGGATGGTCTCAGCCAAGCTTATCACCAGCAGAGCCATGCACACAACAAAGTAGATGCCTGTACACCCAGCACAAGGCAGGGAGGAGGGATGACAGAGACGGGAGGTGAAAGGGGCCTCAGCCAGACCACACCGAGCTCTTCCCCAGGAGCGAGCCTTACCAATGAGGGGAGTGCCGATGGCAGTGGCTGGCAGCGTGTCGGATACAATGATCAGGAAGACGGAGTAGCCCAGGAGGAGGGTGATCTTAAAGGAGACTCTCTCGCCACTGTCTGGGGGCAGGTAGAAGCCCACGATGTCCATGACCATGAGGAAGATACTGGGCAGCAGCAGGCTGACCACATAGAATAGGGGCCTCCGGCGGATGACCACCTGGGACCACGAGAGGTGTTCTGGAGGAAGACTGGGGCAGACATGTCCTGCACCCAGAAACCACCACCCCATCCATGCCCCCCTTGCTTTGTGGAGCTTTCAATTTGTAGCGCTCCAGAGAAGGAAAATTTCCAGAGAAGGAAAAGGACAGACCCCCCTCATTCCACCTCTGGATCCGAGCTTGTGGCTGATCAGGTTAAGTGAGGGACAGCAGTTGTTTCCACATCTACTTTGTGGAAGTTCCAGGGGATGAGCATGACCCTGGAGTTGGGCAAAGGGCATGGAGGTTCTTCCCCAGATGCCTCCTCATGTCTGCCTGGGTGTGATGGCCTAGTAGTTCTATTCGTTTTACCCACATCCGCTCCCTGTCCCACTCACGTAGAACTTCATTTCTGCATAGCAGTCGCTGCTTTCCATACTGAACTCTCGAAACTGGGTCAGCACCCCCAGAAGCTCCCACTCGCCCTGGTTCATGAAGATGCTCTTGTCAAACTTCACCTTTTCCGGCGAGCGCCACAGAGAGATGTTGATGTCCTGGACTGAGAGAGAAGAAAACAAGACGGCTCTGGAGTCTAGTGCCAGGACCGTGCCAGACCTTGCGGCAGTGAGGCGCGCGTGGCCACACCCACGCAATTTAGCTCTCTCAGCTCTTAATCTCCAGCCTCAGTTTCCTCAGCTAGAAAATGAGGTGATGGTGCAAACTGACACATCCAGACAGTGGAGCTGTAGTGAGGGAAGTGGAGTCTTGAATGAAAGCACACAGCAAAATGCAAAGAACCGGAGAAAGCGGTTGTTAGA